ATAGCCTGCACGTCTTATATAGCCTACCAGCTGAGACAGGACGTTAATCAATAATAATAATAATAATAATACACATATCTCGACATCACGTCTGAACGTTGCATGATTAAAAAAAAGAAACATGCAAAGGGAATTTTTATCCAATTTCACAGTCCGAAAGATAGACCACAGCTAATACGAGACGTCACATTGGAACCTCAAGAAATTACAAAATGAACGTTGATGTAAAAGAGAGCAACGAAAAAGAAAGAAGGAGATAATCATTAACTCAAACTTCACAATGCTCAACCTGCGAGACTTTGAACTCCCTTTTAAACCTGGTGCAAAATGCATTCCAAAATTCTTTCCCTCGGGCAAACTTGCTACGAACAATGGTCTTCAATATTCTTAGAGATTGTAGACTTCTTCGCTTTGTTCTTGCTAGTAGCGCGTCTTCATCGAAGATCTGGTGCCACTGGGCTTTCAAGACCGTGTCTTTGATCGAGAGGTGCCTTTTGAATTCTATGCCATGATCATAGCGGAAGGACTCGAGGTCTGGGGTGCGCAAGGACAGTGGCGTGTATTTGTAACCTGAAGGACCGGCCGACAGGGGTGTATTGTCATCGGGTTGGAGCTGGAGCGGAGTAGGAATATGTGAGCGTTTAAGATGGGGTTCATCGTGGATATCAATTTTTGGTTGGTAGTTGAAGTAGTCGTGGTGGCTGGTGAAGGATTGTGACAACATGTGATCGTCTGTCTCAGTGTAGCTAATTGTTGCAACGCAGGTTCCATATGCATTATGTCCATGTGTAATAGGAACAACGGTTGGAAATGTGTTTCTGCGGGCCTGGCCCACCTTTGGTTTCAGTCGCGGCATGCTTTCAAAAACGACACGCACCAAATTCAAATATTTCTTGAATTAGAAAGATGCGCCACTGAGGGGAATAGGTGAAGTTTATAGCCGGTGGTGTTAAAAGCTAATTCAGAACCTCTGTTGGTGCACATGGTCATCAAGGAAAGTTTCAGGACATTGTTTCTTCACAACGTACTATTCACATTGTTTAAGTGTCCAAAGAGTATTCCAGATTTCATGAGAATCACTCAGGCATCATGCTTGCCCGAGAACTTAGCTGCAGCGCATTCACTCGATACGTCCAATCGTTCCGACGTATACCCACTCGCCATCTTCTTGTATCTGCCACGGACTTGCAAATATCTGGATCTTCTCGCCAGAGTCTGATCCCATATCAAGATACCACTGTCCAGCGACTGCATCCCACTTCCAGTCTTCCCAAGCACCCAACCTTTCTGCAGCATCATTTGGCATCAAGTTTGTTCCGGTCATGCTTACATGTTCCCAGACGCCCCTTGTCTCGTTCAGTCTCCATTGAGACAGATAAATATACGCGTTTTGAGTGGGGAGAAATGTATAAAACTCGCGCCATGCAGGATCCCAGGTCCAGGAGTAGGCCGACAACGTTTGCTGGGGGGTGCGCTGGTTCACAGAAGCCGTAGAGCCGATCGTGTGACGAAGAATACGGATTGCACTTGACAGGTCTTCAAAATCGAGAGCGGTTGGAAATGGCGCATCCCAGGGCGTTGACGGTGGATGCCATTTCCCTATCGCACGAAGCTGTCTTTCTAATCTTAGAAGCTCTTCCAAAAGGCTCTCCAAATGGATTTTAGTCTCCTCATCAACAGCTGAAAGGCTAGAGACTATTGCCAATCCACCACTTAGTGCCAGATCATGTGGTATATTCTGGAAGACATTTTGACGCTTGCTTTCTACATCCTTGATGAATTTTCGTACGATAGTCTGAAGGACGAGGACCGCCTCTGTCAGCTCCGGCGCATGAGTTTTTTCGCTTGTCGACGTCATCAGGCTCTATGTGATGCGTGATAATGAAAACTACCGTAGATTTTGTGTTAGATGCCAGTGGTAACTAAGTGCAGGATGCGTGCTATAGGAGTACTATTGGGCGACTTGTTGCCGCAATAATGTTTCCAGCACTTGGTACATGCAGCCGACTTTCAACCATTGTTGCCACCGTCTGGACTCACCTCCCGATATAGACGTTTCGAGTACGGACCTTCGAACTTAAAATAAATCAACAACTCTTGACTCCGCTCGTTCCTTGGAAAGAGTGTCACATGGCCGGTCTTGGTTTACAAAGAATTAATGTTCAGCGCGTCTCAGATGTTACACAGACCTTCGGACGAATGGTTGCGTCATACTACGTACTAGTAGTAACCTTATCGCCGCAGCACGTGGCACCCCACCAATCACTTTCTACAAATAGAACACATAGCATAACGCATAACTGTAGCATACACATAGCATGCGACGCAGGAAATCTTCGGTCGGATCAAGTCATGGAACTATAACGTCCAACAGGGTGACCAAAGTATTTTCTGCTCCTCTCAATACAATCCAGTCACGTTTCAGGCGTACGGTGTTGTATGTACCCTTTCGAAGGATCATGCCACGCATCTTATCCGGCAACTGTACATGCCTTGCTTGGCAATGAACAGCCAAAATCAGCACTACTGTACATACTAGGCGAATTAGAGTAAATTTTACGTAGAAGTGGACGCCGCTCTCCCGTTACCGACATGTAGCGCTTACATTTCAAGGCACCCGTGATTGCTCCTTGTAGGTAGATACGCAGGTCCGCTGGATAAAACTCATATAGTTTTCTCCACTGAAGCGATTTTCAGCTATCATCTCGCCGCCTGAACCTGATCTTGAAACCAGCGTGGTGACACAGATTTGTTTGTCACGTGATCTTTCTTTGTCACCGTCGCAGCTCGCCTTACAGCCAATCCACGTGCGATGAATGCATACACTTTCCCCCCACTAAACAGTACATCTTCTTCTATCTCATGGAATGCATGTCCACCACAAATCGGCTTGCCCCCAAGCCTAGAATGTGCAACATTCTCGGTCCCTATTGATTGGGATACGCCCTATGGCGAACACTTCGATCTTGGGCTCGTCAGGCTACCCGCAGCGCCTTCAAACACAACATCCAAGATTGGGTCCGTATTCATTAACCCAGGAGGCCCCGGTAGTGCAGCATCATCGCTGGTATCATTGATAGCGATAAGCGCATTCCCAGGCCAGACGCCTCAACTTCGGCCTGCGTTTGATATTATCGGACTTGATCCACGCGGTACTGGTATGAGCCATCAGGTAAAGTGCGACCCAGCAATATACGCAGAGGCTGTATCGCTATTTCCTCAGACAGAAGAGGAGTATGCTGCACTTGCCGACAAAAACAAGAGGTTGGGGGAATCATGCCGTGAATTAACGGGACCATTGCTTGAACACGTCGATACCATCAGCGCAGCAAAAGACCATGAAGCTATTCGCGTAGCACTTGGTAACGAGCCGATCAATTTCGTTGGATTGTCGTATGGATCGCAACTGGCTGCACAGTACATCAGTTTGTTTCCCGACAACGTCCGCACTCTTGTCCTTGATGCAATATCACAGCATTCGCAATCTGAAGCAGCAGACATCTTCATCGGCGCGTCGTCTTACGAGCTTGTTCTACAACACTTCTTCGCGTGGGCAGCTACTGATGCAAAGTCGCCACTTCACGGGCAGGACGTGAAAGCGCTGTGGCTAGATTTACTTGCCAGCGCAAAGGAAACACCGATACCCGCACTATCCTGTGACGGCATCAACTGCCGAGCAGCTGTGAGCGACGAAGACATTCTCTTCAATGCGCAGGGTCACCTGAATTTCCCTGGGGCAGGAATAGGTTTGGGCGCGTCCTGGGAGCTTCTCGCATCGGCACTGTTCAATGCTTCGCGCGGCGATGCAACTGCCTTGTCAACATCATCTGCAGGCCCCGATGTCTTTCCCCGGCTCGCGATTCAATGCCTGGATTGGGATCGCTCGGATTCGCTTGCAGAAGTCAAGGCCAAGATGGAAATGGCTAATGCATATTTTGGTCTGAACCATGGCGCAAATCACAGATGGGCTGCGCAACACGCGTGTATCGGATGGCCTGTTCCAGTGAAGAATCCGCCTCAGAAGTTAGACGTCAAGTCGGATACCACTGTACTCATGGTGACGAGCACGGGAGATGCTTCGACGGGAATCCCGTGGGCAGTAGGTATGTTGGAGGAGATCAAAAACTCAGTGTTGGTAGTTCGCCAGGGTGACGGGCACGGAAATTTACCTCTGGGTGGAGAGGCGGGCGACATAATCGTCGAGTACTTGATCACTGGTAAAGCTCCTGCACAAAGGTTCTTGACTACGAAATCATAAAGGCAGCGAAGTAGATGGAATGGATACACATTAACGCTATGAACAAGTCGGTCTAGTTCATCGTCCATGACGACCATTGATACCTTGCAGACAATATCTGACAAGACGAGACATGAGAAAAGGGCATCCGTAAACGTAGCCCAAAGTGTGATTCAAAAGAGGGATAAAAAGAATTGTAAGTCAGGGTATATACAGCTGCTCTGCCCTAGTATGTTCCCAAAAGGAGTCCTTCACGTACACATCTACAACAGAAGAGCGGCGACGGCACCGAGACCGGCAAGAGCGCTGCCGACCTTAACACTGGAAGCAGCACCAGTGAACTCGGGGATGGGAGCACCAGTACCGGTGGGGGCAGCGGTACCAGAGACGACAGGAGGGGCACCGCTGATGGCGGTGGAAGCCTCGGGAACCAGAGGAGTGCTGGTAGGGTAGACAGCAACGGTGGTTGGGTAGTAGGCAGAGCCACTGGAGGGAGCAACAGGAGTGTGGCCCATGGTCCTGGAAGGTGATTAGCAAGTGCTTGGAAGTGCTATTGGTATAATATAAGACTTACTTGGTGACAGTGACGGTGACCGGGGCGGGGCAAGTCTCGCTAGCAGCAGGGTACTGAGCAGCAACAGCTGCGACGAGGGAAGCGGCGATGATGGTGAAACGCATTTTGCTTATTGTTCTTGTTCTTGGTTGGAGAAGAAATGGGTATAGAACGAAAAGAGTTGTACGTGAGAGAGATACGTTGCTGTAAAGAATGTGGTTGGTTGTTTCAAAAGAGTGGCTAACAGTAGTGAATACTATTGATTATGTGGATGTTTGGATGGTAAGAAGAAGCAAAGGTAGCTATAGGCGAGACGTAGAGCAGCTCTTATACATGCCGCATATTAACAGTAGATGAAGGAGACCAGTGGATTGATGTAAATGGGGCGCACCAGCCTTGCTTGGGATCGACTGTGCCGGTTCATTTCCTCCGTGTCGGGGTGTGGATTGGATAGAGTATCATTGCACGAGCCACGGAGCGCAGGGTCAAAGGGTCGAAAGCTGGGGTGATAACGGAGATTAGGACGACGATCCATGAGCGGCAGAAGCAATGGTTGGATGGTGTATTTTCTCAGAGGCGGGACCATGGTGGAGTGAAATGCGCATTGCTCCATGTATGCTTGTAGTCATGCGTACTTTAGGGCGTTCTTCTTGCCATCAGTTTCGAAGTTCCACAATGCTACGTGCAGTGCATACGTAGTATTGGCCCTTGTAAAGCACACGCAGCGTTTCAAAACATGGCGCAATTATAGCCAGCGACCAAGACAGCGGGCTGTGGATAGATTAACCCCTCATCTTGATAGGAGCGGCACGAGATTATCACGCGCTTCTTGGCCTCCATCTGAGACGTTGGTGGGGCCCTTGCACTAGCTCGATTCGGCCTAGTTCGTTCTGGGAAGATATGAAGGTACCGTTCGATTGCGTACACTGTCACAGTTCAGTAAGACAACATCCAAGCAACGGATTGCCGACGTCATGTCTGACAACGAGTGGCAGTGCAGTAGACTCACGTGAGCAGGCTGGGAGTTTATCAGAGAGGCAGCAGGTCAAACCCTTCGCGCAACGTAGAAAAAAATGCATTCGCTAATCTTGGCATGGTTATAATCCTGGGGTATTGCTCTACTAATAGCATCCTCAGCCATGTCGCCATTGCGCCGACCCACTTCATGCGAGTGTCTAAGTACACCTGCAACGCCAAAAGCCGCCCTGAACCCCGCAGCCAACTATAGAGACACTCCACCTCACTTCACCCTTCCCATGATCGGGTCAGGCGGTGCATCATCTTCTGCAATAGCCTCTGCAGCTTTTGCTTTGACTGCATTCAACATGCCCCTATCGAAATCATCTCTGGTCCTCAACACGGCTTCGACCCAGCTAATACTGACATCCCGGTAGGCAGACTTGAACTGCACATAAGCAAACTGCACCTGGGACTTGTCGCATTCAAGCAAGTTGAGGAATTCTTGCACTGCACGCCATCGCTGCATAATGTCTGCGCCCTGCTCTCCGTACGACCTGAAAAACTCAAACGCAGTGAGGAGATCGTCTTTCATCTTGGCCCCGAACTGGTCCGTTCTCTTGAACTTTGCACCTTTGTTGCGTACGGCGCCCAGGTACTGTACTAGCAGCTCATCGGCAAGGGAATCGATAATCAGGTCACGCAGCGAGCGGTGAAGCTGTCCCTCGAATTCAGCAAGATAATCTCTGAAGGTCAAGATGATGGATGCCATGTCTGTTCTCGAATACCACTCCGGCGTAAAGAATTTGGTAAAGATGGGCTTGAAGTCCGTCAAGAAGATTAACTCGCAAAAGGTCTGTATGCAGTGCGACGAAATGTCAATGTATCCGTTCTTGACTTCGTCAATATTCTTGGACAACTTGTCAATCATGTAGTCTTGCGAAACAATGGGCGTTACTTCGCGCTCAAAGACACTCAAGAATGAAGCGCGGCCGCTGCCGTCTAGGTCGTCATCGATGCATATAATTTGGTCGTTTGCGAGCGCAACGAGCCATTCTTGGAAGACGGGCACTCCGTCTCCATCAAGCGTAGGATTGGCACCGACATATTTGGCCTTCTCTTCGTCTATGAGCTGAGTCCATATACGCTGGCGTGAAATCAAAGCGCGGAACATGGCATCTACCACACCGTCGGCCACGTCAGGACGCTGGCTGCTCGCTGCCACGCCAATATTTTGGCTGAACAGCGTCCAGACATCTCCCAGCGATCTTGTCTGGTAGATACCGTCGGGATTGATCTCATATGCAGATCTGTCCTGGTCCAGAAAGCTTTTTCTGTCCTGGCTATTGATACGCTCCATGTATTGATCCACTGCCTGGATGATGACTGAGCGATATGTGCGAATCAGCTCAGCACTACGGTTATCAATAACGTGCGGTTGTAGCTGCTCTTCCGAGAAACCGAGCTTCTGCATTTTGGTGTAGTACTTGTCCACCCAGTTGATAACACCGAGCAGGTACTGTGGTCCCAAGGCCTCGTCATCGGCGAAACTCATCAGGAAGTCGTGCATCTGAGTGTGGTAAATGTTGGTATATGTCTCAAAAATCTTCCACTTCTTGGGCATCAGATTAACCATGCCCAGTTTCACAGTGTTGAGGTTGTTAAAGTACCACTTGAAGTACTTTTCAATCTTCTCTGGGTCCTCCATGAACTTCTGTCTCACTTCGTTCATTTGCGCCTTGCAAACATATTCAATTGACGTGATGAACTTCTCCTTGTATCCACGAAGCTCCTTGGGGCCTTGAGCAATGGATTTGAAGCGCGAGGCAAGGTCTCCAAATTCTCTCTGAGCGTCCTGCAAAGCCTTGATCTTCTTGTCCGTCTTCTCCTCCTCCTCAACGACAACAGCCAGGCGCACTACCATGCCATCGTTGCCAGCCTGGACCAGCTCAATCAAGTTTATGCAAGCCTCGCCAACATGCCTGTCAAACCACTCGACGACATCGTCCAATCGCGTAAAGAGTTCTTGTACTGTAACGCCGCTTTCGAGAGTAAGATTGTCAATGAGCTCCGTGGAGCTGTCGCTGTTCTTGATCTGGCCTATGGCCTCGTCGCGGATGTCGCGCAGCTGCGTTAAGCCGTAGTGTACCTGCAGTAGGTTGGGCTGGTTGGCGGGATCTTGAGCGTCCTCTTCCAATAGCATCTCGAGGTTCTCCAGGCGCTGTGCGAAGCTCTCAATGTCATTTCGCATCTTCTCAACTGACTCAAAGTTCTTGTGTGTCTGGGCTACCAAGTTGATGTGAGGAAAGTCCTGGATCATGTTCTGGGCCTCTGCACATAGTTTGTCAATCTTCATCATCTCCTCTTTGATCAGATTGACGGTCCGCTGTCCCTCGGTGATGCTACTCATGCCCGATTGGGTCAGCTCCAGTTGCTCCTTAAGGCCATGGCGCAGTTGGCCATCGACGGCTGCTTTCTTGCGGGTGAATTCGGCCTTGAGGGCAGGGATCTTGTCGAGGTCCTCTGGATGTCGTAGCAGCTCAGCGAGCTTAACTGTCGCGGACTCGACATCGCCCATGGTGCTGAGCGGTGGTGGATTGGGGCAGGCGTGCGCCCATGCCCATGATAGGGTGAAAGTCGCAGGCGGTACAGGCGGGCGGCAGACAGTGGGTGGTGGTTGCGGTCTTGTTGTGTGGTGCGTGTAGTTACATGTGTGTCGTGTTCGTGTTGGGGTTCGGAGGTTCGAGGCGTGTGAATGGACGGCTGCAGTCAAGGCCTAGCGCGTCCGAGCCCAAGTTTCCATCCCCCGGTGCCCCCCTCCCCACGCCACCACCACGTTGTCGTCGACAAATTATACCACCCACACTAGAAGCCATGGCTGACGAAGAGCTGAATCTATACGACGAAATCGAAATCGAGGACTGTTTCTACGACGAGACACTGCAAATCTACCACCACCCATGTCCCTGTGGCGACCGTTTTGAGATTTCCATTTTCGACATGCGAGACGGCGAGGATATTGCGCGCTGCCCCAGCTGCAGCCTGATGATTAGGATCATCTTCGACCCAGTATGTGCCGCCCTTGTTCCTTCCGTACGTTGAAATTACTAACATTGCGCAGTCTGACCTGCCCCCAGAAAACGACGATGCGCCGCAGAGTGTTGCCATTGCCACCTAGACTTGCATCTTCTCATTCTACAAATCACCCGCGGAGACTTTATCTTTTCTTTTCAGGCCTCGCCCTTGCATCTATTATGGCGTTACATATCACGACGTTTGGAGCAACATGCGCACATAACAATTCTGGACTGGTCGCTACTTGGCTATGGACTACCCATTCCCAGGATGTGCGGTCTGAGCCACGTGCTACAGCAAATGTTGGTGGCCATTATCTGCTCCATTAGCGCGGAACCTCGTCATCAACGCTGACATCAACACCCAGCTCTTTCCTCAGAATCTCGGTGAGCGAGCTGCCGTCTCGCAAATATACCCAGTCTCCAATACCGCATCCTTCTTTTTCGCCCATACCTTCTTGGGACACGACCCAGTCGAAACGCTTTGGTCCAGATATGGGGGAGCTGAGCCAGATTTGCTTGTTTGGAGGTTGCTTGTTCAAGACAAATGTGTTGTTCTGGGATGTGACCTCGAGGACGCCAGACTGTTTATAGCCAAAAGCAAATTAGCGATCAGTTCAATGTCGATACATGTACATAGCACCGACATACCGAGTAATCCACCTCAATGGCCGGGTCGTTCTCTTGTGCCTCCTCTAGCCTCTGCTGTAGCTCGCCCAGGTAGTGGTCTGCGCGCTCGTGGAACTCTTGCATTGAGATGTCGGTCGCTTTGATTGGCGTTTCTTGGGAGGGAAGCTCCGGTGGCTTTGGGTCCTCGGAGTCAGGCATGATGCTCCGCAGGCTTGCGGATGCATGCAAGGGACGGAAGCATGTTGTGTTGGTAGTAGCTGGAGCTCTGCTGGCGATGACGCGACCAACAAGCAATTGGTCGCGAAGCGGCGAGCGCAGTGCACGACGAGCGACCACACTGGCGAAGCGAGTGGCTGCTGGTCTCATGATGAAATGTGAACTGGATTGTGCACGAGAAAGAGAAGTATAAGAACAGTAATAGTACAGTGTAGCGTGCGATGGATGCTTGGTGGTGATGGAGCAAGCGGCAGGAGCATGGACCCCCTCCTCGTCCTGCTCGCCTACGTACTATGTGGTGCTGCGATGTACGAACGTCCCCGCACCTGCAGCGGGCGGGGGCTCTCACCAACCAACTGCCACGACTGACCGCCAACCGCACCCCATCGCCCATCACCCGTCGCCCGTCGCCCGTCGCCATCATGATCAACGCCGTCCTGGTCTTCAACAATGCGGGACAGCCGCGGCTGACAAAATTCTACACCCAGCTGGTATGAGCACGTGACCTTTACCGTCACCTCCACCATCATCTGGCTGCTTGTGCGCGCGGCTAAACCAACGACGCGTAGGAAACCAGCGTCCAGCAACGCCTCATCTCCGAGATCTTCACTCTCGTCGCCAACCGTCCTAATTCAGCATGCAACTTCTTGCCGTGAGCCGCCCTCCATGCCGCCGTTTTTGCCCTCCGCGACCTGAGCTAATCTCGCTCCAGCCTTCCTCCGCTGCTCGCCAGCAGCTCCAAATCCTCGACTCCTAGCACCCCACATAACGACACGCCCTCCCTCGTCACTTACCGCCACTACGCGACGCTGTACTTTATTGTCATTTCCACTTCTACCGAGTCGCCCCTCGCTCTTCTTGACCTTATTCAAGTCTTCGTACAGGCACTTGATGGCCTTTTTGAGAATGTATGCGAACTGGACCTCATCTTTAATTTTGAGACGCTGCATGCCACATTGGGCGAAATGATTGTCGGCGGTGTGGTCGTCGAGACACAGCTTGACAAGGTCATACAGGCAGTCAAAGCCCAAGGCAGAGTCGCCAAAAGACCAGTAAATGAGGGAAAGAACCTCGGCGGTGGCGGCGGCGGCGGCGTTATGGGCGGTCTCACATTCGCTGGGCTGGGGCGGGGAGATGGTATTTGGGCTGGACGTTGAGGACCAGGAAACTAGACCCTTTCGAATGCCTACTTTCAACCATCCAAACAGCGACACCTTCCACCTTGGTATTGTGCCGAGATTATTTCTTGTCGATACGATAACAAGCCCGACTCGACGTTGGAGCCAAGCGTGCCTGAACACGTTTGCACCCTTTGGTGTTGCCTTGTGTCCCTGAGGGCTTGCCTCTTTGTCGGGGAAACGAGGTCCCGCGCTATTTACAATGTACCCGAGTTTTGTTTCGACCATACCATTGCAATGCTTCGACAGTGCATTTGCATTATTTCCGGCGGATTAATCTGGGGAGTTTTTCCGATATGTCAGAAACCTGGTAAACGTCAGGGGTTCGGTAGTTAATCGAAACCCAAGCGCCTAGCATCGTTGCCGAGCTAGGTTTAATGGAAACAAGCTTCAGTCTAATAAAGTCTAGTGCTTAAAGATCTAAGCCTAGTGCCTTGACATCTAAAGCCCCTTCATATACACATTGCGACAGAGAACAAATAGAGAAGAATCGCTCCAATGAATGGCTCCATGAGCTCATTTCCGCTCGTCCTGATTGCTGGACTGTTTCACAACGATACCAGGCATGCCAAACAAGCTTCCCTTGGCGCACGTACCTTCCTGTTCACAACAAGATCTATAAGAGCCACACTACTTCCACTGCCCTATGAATCACAAAACAATACCCATCACTCTCTCCATCCAACATCATGCGTTTCCTCTCTATTGTTTCCAGCCTTCTGTCCGTAGCCGCAGCCGCGACTATCGGTAAGCGTGCTATCACTCCGGGTACCCTCTCCCAGGTTACCTCCGGGTTTCAAGCACCTACCAAGGCAGGCTTCTTCATCTATGTTCCCAAGAAGCTTGCTGCCTCGCCGGGTCTGATTGTTGCCATTCATTACTGCGGTGGTTCAGCCCAGGCATACTACACCGGTAGCCCTTACAAGACCCTGTCTGAGCAGTATGGTTTCGTCGTAGTCTACCCAAGCTCGCCTCAATCATGCTGGGATGTGAGCAGCAAGAAGACTCTCACCCACAACGGTGGTGGAGACTCCAACAGCATTGCCAACATGGCCCAGTGGGCAATTCAGCAGTACAAGGTGGATACCAACAAAGTCTTCGTTACTGGTTCCAGCAGTGGTGCCATGATGACGGTACGCCTTTACCCTTTGCGCTTCTCAGAACTTATTTTACAATACTGACGTCAACATAGAATGTTATGGCTGCAACCTACCCCGAGCTGTTCAAGGCTGCCATCGCTTACAACGGAGTGCCAGCCGGTTGCTTCGCGTCCCCATCCGGTGCTGTTGCTGCCTGGAACAGCGACTGCGCTCAGGGCAAGGTCATCAAGACACCTGCTCAGTGGGCCAAGATTGCGACCGACATGTATCCTGGCTACTCTGGCTCTCGCCCCAAGATGCAAATCTACCACGGCAATATCGATACCACCCTCTACCCCCAGAACTACGCCGAGACAATGAAGCAGTGGGCCGGTGTCTTCGGTTACAACTACGACAAGCCCCAGAGCGTCCAGCAGAACACCCCTCAGACCGCTTTTACCAAGACTGTCTGGGGTCCCAATGTTCAGGGTATCCTTGCCGCCAACATTGGCCACACCGTCCCTATCCGGGGTGCCGACGACATGAAGTTCTTTGGCTTTGCCTAAGAATGTGCACATTTGTCGCCATGTTCATCGAGAACAATGCTTCAGGTGGGGGGGTGAACAGGTTGTTTGGTCGCATCATCATGGACACCGTCATCCAAAACCTTCTCCCACAGAAGCTTCGATTGTAAATATTTACTGTTTTTTTTGAATAGTTCTTTGTGACGCATTTTGCTGCGTACAACGGCTATTCAAACCCGTACATAAACCAAAATATCAACGATATGTTGCAAAGTACTTGTCTGCTTTCACATGTATCCTGAGTCTTTTACTGAGTGAAACTTGATGTCAATATTATATATTATGCTTCTTTTGGTTCTTCAACAAAGAAAAAAAAAGATTCCACTAAGCATCATCCAAACTATCAAAGCTAAACTTGCTCCCAAGCCTCGCTCCCCCGACACCATGCCCTGACAATCCACTTCCATAGCCACTCATATTCTGATACCGCACACGCATCGACTCGCCACTCCCCCGATTCGACCTCACTCTACTACTCTCATAATACTCGTCCACATCCCTCGGCGAGCTAACACCACGACACGCACGATGCTCGTATCGGCTCGACGGCCACTCGTGATACATGTCGTGGTCAGTAGTACCGGTATCGAAAACAGACGCTAGTGCTTTCCGCGTTGCGTTTTTTACCGCTGAGATGTGCACGCGGTGGGCGTGGGGGAGGCGCTGGGTTTGGTAGGGGGTAGGGGGGTAAGGGGGCAGAGTTGGGGTGGTGTACGACGACGACGACGACGAAAAGGAAGACGAGGTGGAGGTGGAGGGGAAGGATGAGGATGAGGAGGAAGAAGAAGAAGAATAGTCAGAGGGAAAAGACGAGGATGACGAGGTGGAGAGGATGGTGCGAGGGGGGAGAATATGCTTCTTAGCCAAGTGCCATTGTAGACGGGATTTTTCTTGCTGTCGTTTGAGGTACTTGTATTCGTCGCTGGGGAGGCTGTGGGATGTGGGTGAGGTGGGGTGGTAGTAGGCTGGGGTGCTGTAAGGGGGCATTGTGATTCTGTGTGTGTGTGTGTGTGTGGTGTGAATGTGACGATGACTGTGCCTTTTCTCGTCTGGTTAGATCGGATTTGTCTGCTCTGACTTTTAGTTTGCTTGATTGGTGTTCTGATGATATTAGAGATTAGATGGAAACATTTTTTAAATACCAGTGCAAGGACTCGGTGGGTGTGGTTGAGACGAGACATTGTTTTTGCACTGTTTATTGTGTGCATGGATAATGTTCAGATGGGAGGCAATTCACAGTAGGAATAGATGGATATGGCGACGGAGTTCACACATACTTGGTTGGGTTGGAGACTTTGAACAGAAAAGTCATAAGTGAAATGGGAGGTGTGAATTCAAACACGTTTATGACATTTGAGATGATAAGATTCATCGCACGGATATTCTATTTGATCTAGACATCTAAAATGTATGCACAAATTTTGAACCAGCTAATTATGCCCTCTTAATCCCATAATTTCGAAACACACATCTCAGATATTTTTTCAGCCTCATTGCCCTTATCCCCCTCCTTACCGCTGGTCGCGCATCATCATTGGGATATATCTTCGCTTCCTCATGCGCAGAGGCTGCCGGTAGCGAAGATTGCGAGAGCAGAGGATAGTATGGAAAGTCGTCCTCGTTGATATTTTGTAACCTAGTTTTAACTTCTGGGCCAAAGATTGGTTCTTGCTCAGTTATGGGATAATGCCGTCTATCAGGTGTCTCAGTATTTTCCCGTTGTATATGCGGCTCAGCATCAGCATAGAGATCCATATGATCTGGTAGTATGTCGCTCACTCTAGCATCTACAGATCGCCAAGTTACTTGATCATTTTCTTGGGTACTACCCGTTGAAGTGGACAGTGAATATGTGGATGTATATGATGTATTGGAAGTTGTCAAGGTATCTCTACCATAAAAAAGTTGAAGTACAGGAGAATCTGGGCGAAGGCTTTCTTCTGAGGGGGTAGGACTGAGTAGGAATGTTTGGTTGACTGGAGGTTGGGTTCCTGTGATGCTAGCGAGGACTTGTTTGGAAAGACGTAGGAGATTGGACGGAAATTCCCGAGGATCAATGTTCGAGGTCATCTTGAGTCTGTCCCTGTAGATGTTATGAGAGGAAATGCATGTAATAATTATTGTAAAAATGCAGCACTGAATTTTTTGCGGAATGGGTATTGTGTCAAGTACGATCATAAATAGACAAAATCTTAACTGTGTTACTGGATAAATTTCACCCAACATAAGTGATCCCTGATCAAGAACCCTATGCTCGAGAACTTTTCCGATTGCATTTACTATCCACCTATTAAAAGCGAAAAAAAATGCAATTGTTCAAAGACACTGTTAACAACTAGACGTTGTTGGAACAAAGACTTGAACAAGATACGCGACCTGTGCAGTACAGCAACAAAGAAACACTCGGGTCTGTACAAAAGAACACGGCATGTCAGAGCACACAAGTCGACACACATTGCACTTGAGAGTCACTACTGAAAATAAATAATGAATTGTATATGGCAAGAGACCAGATCTTGTAGTCGAGGATATTGAGCATATGTGGAATGACTAGATATGCTAACGAATATTGCCAACTACGTTGATGTTGTGTGGAGCAATCTTCTTCTGTTAACAAAATGAATCTCTACTAAGTGTATGAATCATCGTAACCTCTGCGAAGGAAAAAAACAGTGAGCGAGGGAAGCAGCTGATTTCGAGAATTGCATGCTGGATTACAGATACCATCACGTGATATCACAAGTATGGGCGGCTAGTAAGCAAAAAATGCCGCAGAATGCGGTGAGAGCAATTTGGGCTTAGCAAAGCGGTCAATTCACGGGCGGCCGAAAGGCCTGGATCAAGATAGGCATCGGAGAACGGCAACGTGGTGATTAGTCTTGAAGATAAGCGAGAACGCGCTGCAGGGAGCAAGTTAAGCTTCAGTGGAGGCCGCTGATTGGACAATGTCTCTATGCGCAGCTGAAGTGTGTTCCTTGGCGTTACTGCCTCGACTAAAGACGTAATTGCTCTAGCAGCTCCGCAAACCATAGAAGAGAACGTGGCGTATACTGTCGCTTTGCTTAGATGCGTACGGAATCTTCCATACGTCTGCAGTGTAGAACCGTTTTGTCTTTGGGTGCGTCGTAGGTGCCAGGTGCCAGGTGCCAGGGATTCACACAATTCTCTGTCAAGTACGAGTACTGCCTACTCTTGAATCGGCCGGCCTATTAGACAGAAATCTGACATCACATGACCCCTCTCTAGTGATACCGTTGATTTGTGGTACTATCACTTGATAAGCGTCAGGACCATGACGAAGATTCGAGACTGCGGCTCGGAAAATAGTATAACCGATATGCAAAGCCGTCTATTTAGCGCTGTGCAAAAGAATCGTGTCTATAGATGTAGACATTGGAAACTAGAGTGAAATGTCATAGGCAAGAAAGCACGCCTCTGTAAATAACGCCGTATATGTCAAACTCCATTTTGGGTAGGCAGAAGCATCACGCAGTGATGGGTAGTCTGCGGTGAATTACATGAGAAAATCGAAGCTCGGGTTCGAGAGATCAACGCCGGCTTTTCAGGCCAGCCCTTGCGGCTGTAGACCGTCGCTCTGGCTTAGATTCATCCTCGCTTTCAGAGGCACCACCATCATCCATGCCGTCGCTCATGGGGTCTGACATGTCCTCGCCTTCGTCGTCGTCCGTTTCTTCGGCCTCGTCATCAATGAGATCGTCATCCGAACCTTCGCTGTCCTCGTCTGAAACGTCATCCATTTCCATATTCAAGCCCATTTCGTCCGAAGAACTGTCCTCGTCGTCATCCATCTCTGCGCGCAATCTTTTTGGTGTCGCAGTGGGTCCCTCAACCGACTCGTCGTCGGAGACATAGTCATCCTGACCTTCGACGTAGATGAGGGCCTCGTCGGCATCGTCCTTGGCGGCTTGGTTTCGTTTCCTTAGGTCGAGTTGGGCCTGAAGCATGTCCAGACGGCCCTTTAGCGACATGAGAGGCATCAGGCCGCTCGAGCGCTCCTTGAGTACTTTGTTGAGTGCGGTGAGTTGCTTGACGATTTGCGGCTGCGATGCCAGATATCCACCGTGGGCGGCGCTGTGTAAGATTAGAGTCAGCGTGTGTCTTATGTGCAGTGGACTTGCGAAAGCTTACAGTGACCACTGCACCCAGGCCATCAGCATGCCTGCACGACCAGGGCTCCGATGCAGGCGCTCGGCCAATCTCTGCAACAGTGTTCCTACGAGGGGCGATGGCAGCCGTTCTACGGTGGCATATACCGATTCTACATCGACGACCTGCAGACAGGAATCGAGAAGCTCCTTGTCGTTTGTGCGCAACGCCTGGGTGAGGACGGTGCCGAGAGAGTTTGCATTGGGCGGCGCAAGCGGGCGGTCTTTTGTCGCAGCTACGGTGCGCTCTGGGTTTGGCTCGAAAGCATCCTCGACGCTAATGATGCGCGACTCTTGCACGGGCTCGGGAGCCTCTGCACGCAAGCGGTCGCCGAAGGTAACGTCTTCATTGTCTTCATCTGCGGCGGCATTGGGGGCGGTCGTGTCTTGGTCGATGCTGGTGTGTGCGGAGTGGCCGTGCGCATCATCGGAATCGTCATCGCTCTGCTCGTCGGCGCTGCTGATTTCAATGACGTCCGCATCTGCCATGTGGGCATCGGCAGGTCCTTGGATGGCAGCCGTGGAGTCGTCGACCTTTTCAGCGCGCGAATTCTTGAGGCCGATGGTTTTGGCCGTGGGCTTGGCCGTGCTGCCGCCAGCTAGCGCCTTGAGGCCATGCTGGCGGGCTGTGGCAGAGGGATGCGGCTGGGCCAACTTTGCCTTCTTCGCGGGCGGGGCGCGGTCGCGCGGGCGGGGGGCTGAGAGAGCGGCAGGCATTGTGAAGGGGCTCTTGATGGGGGAGCAGGCGGCGTGGTTGGAGCGTGGCAGCGAGGAAGACGAGAGGTCGACAAGGCCGTGGTGCTGTCAGGCTGGAGCAGCACGCGCAGAGATGCAAGTGGTCGCAAAAAATTTGGAAAGAGCGCATTAGCGACCCCTGCACGCACGGGCCTCGGCGACAGGGATCATGGTACGGTGAAGAGCTGGCCCACGGATGGTTGATGGCAACGCTCCACGGCGCGGGCAGCAGCAGCACCAAGTGTCGCAGCGTCGTCGGCGCGTGGGCAGCAGCAGAGGGCGGGCAGAGGGGTGGTGCAGCGGCGCGCACACGCAGCGGTCGATGCAGCGGGTGCGGGGCGGCAGGGCGGCAGGCTGGAGGCAGAGGCAGAGAGGCAGCGAGGCAGAGGCAGAGGGTGGTGGTGCAATGGCCGGCAAGGACACGTACCCCGTCCAGGTTAGTGGCAGGTCAGGGGCTCCGGCAGGGCTTGGCTCGGAGATGGAAGGGCCGGGCTACTTAACCCCAATGCCTCTCCTCTCGCGTCTGTCTTCGACGTTCTTGCGTCCATTGTCCTGATCTGCCTCCAATCACTACGCGCCTGCTCCCCATCACCCTAGCCTTACTCGCACCCCGCCACACTCGCACCCCTCGCCCACGCTGCCCGCGCCCACCTGCCCACCACCACGGCCTCCACGACCACGCACACCACTGTAATACTTGCGACTTGAATCCCTCCTCGCCCCCCCGGCCGGCCTGCACCCAACCTGCGCCTGCACCGCGCTAGTCCTCACCATCCCTGCGCATCCTCCATCGCCCGCCATTGTGGTGTTGGACGTGCTTGTGCCTGTGCCTGTGCCTGCGCCCGCTGCTCCGCTCCCACGCTTGTCGCTGCCTCAGAACCAAAGTCCGCCCGCCCTCGCCTTCACCTCGACCCATCCGCTGAGCGCCCCACGCCCGACGCGTCGGCCTTCGCAGAGGCTCATTGGCCGCTGCACAACGTCCGGCTTAGCCCCGACCGCCGCCTCTTCACCGTCTCGCCGCCGCCACTTGGTACGTAGTCACGTGCGTTTCAGCCTCCCCAACATATATGCTTGTCGTGCTGCCCCTCTGTTGTTGCTCGCGTTGCTCCCCACGCTAGTCGCACACCCCCGCCCCACCTCTGCTGCCCGCGCGCCGACATTGCACATCACACTGTACTCTGCCCTTCTACCGTCGCCCTGCCTCCCCTCTCGCTCACTGGTTACGCGTCTAGTGCGTAGTCGCGCACGCGCATGCAATGGCTGTCGCTAACAGCCCCAGATTGGCAACGCCCCCAGGCAGTCCTGCTTCCCTGTCAGCCGCGCGCAAATCCGACTTTCTCTTTCATGGCCCTATGGCAGTAATGACCTCGCCTGCTGTCGACAAAACTTCCTTGGACCTGAAGGTGAGCGCTTTTGCGCCGGCAGACGCCATGGCAGTCGACACTGAAACAAATGGGTAAGTCACCCTCTGCGCAGCCTTGCGCCTGCCTGCCTGCCTCCCCCCCTCCCTCCTTCCCCTTGCGCAATGTCCATTAATGCCTGGCAGCGTGCACGACGTCCTTTTTGACGACCCACAAACCAATGGCAAAGTCGCCGACGACCCGGCCCAACCGAAACCAACCCTAAACGGCAATCACGCAGCCCCCGACACGTCAGCGCCTGCCAATGAGCCTGCCATCGAGTCTGCCATCGAGCCCACGACCAACGTCTCATCTGGAATCGATGGCATCGCACAGTATCTGCCAGACAGCCAGCCAGATATCAACTCGCTGTTTGGCGACTCGGACATTAGTGCGACTGTGACAAACGCCGTTGAGGCGCCTACATCGGACGTGCGCGACGAGCCGGCACCAGCTCCACAACCGCCTACAGACACCCAGGCAACAAGCGACAGCACCCAACAAGTACCCGAGACGCAGATCTCGCCCAAGCAAGAGGAACCGGCTCCAGAAAGCATGGACACTTCTGCCGACGCACCCGAGCCCACCCTTGGCGAGTCTTCTGGCGCGCCGACAAAACCCATGGATGACTTGAAAATCCACACGAGTGCGGATGACGCTACTGCGCCTGCCCCATCAACACAATCACCGGCGATTGTAGACCGCGAGATGGAAGATGCGCCATTGTCCGGCAAAGTCCGCCCGCGCGAAGACGATGACGATGATGTTC